CTTTTATCATCAAGTTTGGTCCTTCTTGCATCTGGGATCTTTGCATATGCCACACAACCAAAGACTCGAAGATGAGTAACACTTGGTTTGTGACCACTCCATGCTTCTTGTGGAGTGATAGCTTGCAAACTTCTGGTTGGGCAGCGGTTCAGCAAATATACTGCACATGATACTGTCGGATAAGGTGAAGGTAATTAGAGTATATCTGGTCTGGTACATGTCAAGTACCTTAAGCTTCCTACCAAGCTTTTAAAGTAAGTTGGATCAACATTTCCAACTTTACTTTTCCTCAATTCCACTCCATTCTCAACTGGAGTTGATACCAGATTGCAGCTTTCCATCTTGAACCTTTCAAGAATATCTTTGGCATAACTGCTTTGGGATACAAAAATCCCTTCTTCTTTCTGCACCACTTCTAAGCCAAGAAAATGTGCCATCAGACCAATGTCTGTCATCTCAAACTCTTGTACCATGCTTTTCTTGAAGTCTTCGAACATGGTAGGATTGTTGCCGGTGAATATCAAGTCATCAACATATAGGCACACAAATAATATGCTGCCATCTGCTTCTTTCTTCACATAAATTGCATGTTCATATGGACATTTTTCAAATCCATTATCTTGAAAATACCTGTCAATTCTGGTATTCCAAGCACGCGGAGCTTGCTTCAAACCGTAGAGGGCTTTCTTCAACTTGTATACTTTGCCTTTATTTTCATCATCAATGTATCCAAGTGGTTGTTCAACATAGATCTCTTCTTCTAGGAAGCCATTCAGAAATGCTGACTTCACATCAAGTTGATAGATCTTCCATCTATGTTGTGCTGCTAGTGAGATCATCAATCTGATTGTCTCTAGCCGGGCTACTGGAGCAAACACTTCTCCATAGTCAATGCCTTCTCTCTGTTTGTAGCCTTTCACCACTAATCTTGCTTTGTATCTTTGCACTTCTCCTTTTGCATTCTTCTTTGTCTTATAGACCCATTTGACACCTATTGCTTTCTTGTTTTCTGGTAAATAAGTCAGCTTCCAGGTATCATTCTTCTCAATGGCATGTATTTCTTCATCCATTGCTTTTATCCACTTCTCTTCTGTGATAGCTTCATTGAAGCTAAGTGGGTCACTATCTGCAAAGAAACAAAATAGAGTTGTATCTTCCATTACTTGAGTGGCGTCATACAGCTCTTCTAGATTTCTCATCCTTCTTGGTCCTTCTGATGAGGATGCTGATGCTGATGGTATTGATGATGATTCTGGCGTGTTTCTCCTGTTGAATACAGGAAATCTGTGTACCGGACTTTGTGGCTCATCTTCTGGTACTATTGGACCTTCTGCAAGTACTGTTGGTACTTCTTCATCTTCAAGGATCAAATCAGTGCTGATCCATTTAACTGCTTCTTGGTCATCATTCCATTGCCAAGTTTTATCTTCTTCAAAGATAACATCTCTGCTCATAATTACCTTCTGGGTGATGGGATTATACAGCTTGTATCCCATCCTTCTCTCACCATATCCGACAAAGATGCATTTCTCGCTTTTATCATCAAGTTTGGTCCTTCTTGCATCTGGGATCTTTGCATATGCCACACAACCAAAGACTCGAAGATGAGTAACACTTGGTTTGTGACCACTCCATGCTTCTTGTGGAGTGATAGCTTGCAAACTTCTGGTTGGGCAGCGGTTCAGCAAATATACTGCACATGATACAGCTTCAGCCCAGATATACAGCAAATGTTGATCTTCAAAGATAACATCTCTGCTCATAATTACCTTCTGGGTGATGGGATTATACAGCTTGTATCCCATCCTTCTCTCACCATATCCGACAAAGATGCATTTCTCGCTTTTATCATCAAGTTTGGTCCTTCTTGCATCTGGGATCTTTGCATATGCCACACAACCAAAGACTCGAAGATGAGTAACACTTGGTTTGTGACCACTCCATGCTTCTTGTGGAGTGATAGCTTGCAAACTTCTGGTTGGGCAGCGGTTCAGCAAATATACTGCACATGATACAGCTTCAGCCCAGTATTGCTTGGGCAGCTTCTTTGCTTTGAGTAGACTTCTTGCCATATCAAGAATTGTTTGATTCTTCCTCTCTGCTACACCATTCAGCTGTGGTGTATAAGCTGGTGTTGTCTGATGTCTGATGTCTTGTTGTGTACAAAAGGCTTCAAAGTCATTTGCTGTATATTCTCCACCTTGATCAGATCTCACGGTTCTGATCTTATAGCCACTTTGCTTCTCAACAATTGCTTTAAAATCTTTAAAACAATTGAACACTTCTGACTTCCTCTTCAAAAAATATACCCATGTCTTTCTGCTAAAATCATCAATAAAAGTGAGGAAGTACCTATTTTGTCCAGTCGACATAGGCTTTATCGGACCACACACATCTGTGTGTACTAACTCCAGTGGCTTGTTTGCTTTCCAGTTGACTTCTTTGGCAAAACTGGATCTGTGATGTTTGCTGAGGACACAACTTTCACAGACTTCTTCTAGATGATCAATATGGGGCATACCTTTGACCATCTTCTTGCTTGCTAGCATCTTCAGATTTGTGAAATTCAGATGTCCAAGCCTCAGGTGCCAAAGCCATTCTTCACTGTTGGTGATGGCACTCAAACACTTTGCTGCATCATATTGGATGTTTAAAGGAAACATCCTATTCTTGGACATTTTCACATAGGCAATTAATCTCCCATTGTAGTCTGTAATTGTCAGATGACAATTCTTCATGTAAAGTGTATAGCCTCTCTCCAAAAGTTGACCTATGCTCACCAAGTTCTGCTTTATGGCTGGGACATAGTAGACATCGGCGATGTAGCTATGATCGCCATTCTTCAACTTGATTGGGATGTTGCCTTTACCTTTGAATGGAACTTTTGACGTATCTCCAAAGGTGACAAAACCTTGTATGGTCTCATCTAGATCACCAAATAAAGCTCGTTGGCCACACATGTGATTGCTGGCTCCAGAATCAAGATACCAAATATTCTCTTGATTCTTGTCAAGTCCTTGTTGGACAAATAATGCAGCTGCTCCTCTATTGTTGACATCCTCTTCTGCATAGTTGACTCGCTCACGTATCTCCAGTGGAGCTTTCTTTTGACATTCAGTGTTATAGTGGCCAAATTGATTGCAATTATAACACTGAATATTCCTCTTGTCACGGTTATTGTAACCGCCTCCTCTTCCTCTAGGAGTGAATGCTTGTTGTCCTCGACCTCCTCTAGTGGTGTTTTTACCACCTCTTCCTCTAAAACCTGTATTCCAAGAACCTCTGCCTTGAAATCGCTGAAATCCTCCTCGTGTTTGTTGACTTCTTCCTCGAGTGGTGTATCCACTTGTTGAAGTCTCCCCTTGCTCATACCTGTCTTTGAGAGACAACTTTGCTTGTAAGACATGCTCAATTGCCTTATCTCCATTTCTTTTTATAATCTTCTGCTCATGAGCTTGCAAAGAACTCATAAGTTCATCCACTGTTAACTTGTCCACCTCTTTGGACTCTTCAATAGCGACAACAACAAAATCAAATTTTGGATCTAGGGATCTCAAAATTTTCTCAGTAATTCGAGCATCTGAAAGGGCTTCTCCATTTCTTCTCATCTGATTGACTATCACCATAATTCTTGTGTGATAATCAGAAATGGATTCTGAGGACTTCATTTGTAATAATTCAAATTCACCTCGTAAAGATTGGAGACGAATCTTCTTTATTCTGTCAGCACCTTTGTATTTTTGTTGGAGAGCCTCCCATATTTCTTTTGATGTTTCTGCGGAAGCAATGATTTCAAATGTCGCTTCATCAAGACCTTGATAAATGATGGTCTTTGCTTTGTTGTCTTTTTTTCTATTGGCTTTGAGGACTTGCTTTTGTACCTCTGGTAAAGCATCTTCTGATTCTTTCGACTCTGGTTCATCATAACCATATTGCACAATGTCTATACACTCTTGTGAACCAAGGAATGCCTTCAATCTGATGCACCAACTATCATAGTTGTCTTTGGTTAGCTTCGGGATGAGTGTTTGTGCACTTTCTGTAGTCATTTTGCTCTTTAAATGACTATATCACCTTTTTGGGAGTTGAATTTGGCAAAACCGACACCGTAGATGGATCCGGAATGGTCCAAATAGTAGGGAACCGGTCTGACTTTGTAGAAAACGGGTCAAAAATGAGGTGAACCGGTCCAAAAACCAATTCGGGTGGTTTGCTGGGTTGAACCGGGAATATTCCAAGGAATATTCTTTTTTTGACTTTGACTTTAGAATATGGCTCGGAGCTTGGCTTGGCTTCGGAATATGGCTTGGAGCTCGGCTCGGCTTCGAAATATGGCTTGTGGCTCGGCTCGCGACTCGGCTTGAGGCTTGGCTCGGCGCGGCTCAAATATGGCGCGCGTGTGGCTCACTCGTCTTCTTCCTCGGGGCGCGTGGGCTACAGTGATGAAATTTCAGACGGAGAGTGTGGTCCACCCCGTGCTCCGATTGATCTGATTTTTGCACCGTTGAGTTCGTATTGATGAGTTCTACACTTTGGAATGATCAAAACTTGTTTTTGACAACTTTGAAAATTCGGATATTTCCCAAAAATACCTCTGTTTTCTGACGAACGGGGCTCTGATACCAATTGTTGGTGGGAGAAACCACTTGTGGTGGCTTTGAAACACTCAGAGGGGATAAAACACACTCTTTTATTTCAAGAACAAAGCTTACAATAACATAAACAAAAGTTTACAACAACCCCTCTCTCTTTCTCTCTTTTTCTCTAGTGTTTCTCTCAATCTCTCCACACATAATTGCATAAGCTTAGCTATCTATTTATACATGAAATCAAAACAAGAAAATTCAACCTTCAAGTGTGAAGGCGGTTTTTGGCCGACGGTGTGAAAGCGGCCGGCGGCCGGTGGCTGGCGGCTGGCGGCTGGTCGGTTGGTGGCTGGGCGGTGACAGCTGGTGGCTGCCTTCCTTGACCTTCTGGATTGAGTTTACTTCAACAATTATCGATAAACATATCCGGACAAGCCTCGAATCAAAGAGACGAGAACTTCCAAAAGTGGAAGTCAGAGAGTTTCCCATCACAAATACCACGTGATGATGACGCGAAGAAGATGATGGATGAGAAGTTGTACAATTACGCAGAAGAAGACAAATTTGATGAATTATTTGGTGAACTGCGGCGTGTTTCATCAGCGGAACTATCATCCGTCATTTACACACAAGTTAGCCCCTCTGGAAATTCATTGCTTCATGTTTCAGCGAGGCATGGAAGTAAAGATGTGACAGAGCTCCTTCTTCAGCACTTTCCGCTTCTAATGACAAGGAAAAACTTCCACAAAGATACTGCACTTCATTTAGCAGCCAGAGCTGGACAGCTGGGAACTATTACAATTCTTATCAACAAGGCAAAAGGCCATGGAGAAGCCAGCGACTTTTCTAGTTTTTTGGAGATGAAGAATGATAGGGGAAACACTGCTTTACATGATGCAGTCATTAATCGTCACCAAGAAGTTGCCCGTTTTCTGGTTTCGGAAAGCTCGAAGCTTTTATATACTGAAAACAATGAACGTAAGTCTCCCTTGTATCTTGCAGTCGAGAATAGCACTGACAAGCCGAGTGATGAGAAGATGTTCACTATTCTTATGGATGCTATACCCGATGATGTTGATTTACTTAACAAGCTAGAAGGAAAGTCTCCTGTGCACGCCGCTATCCAAGGAAGAAAGACAGGTAAAATATTGATTTTTTTTTTATTTCTTCATATATTTTCCCTTGTAACATGCCAGTGTTTCTTTCATTATTTGATTGATTATTCATTTGTTTTAAATTAATTTCAGAAATATTGAAACAAATAGCGAAAGAAAAGCCAGGCCTTTTGCGCCGGAAAGATGAGAAGGGGGGGAATCCACTTCATTGTGCAGCATCCATGGGTTATGTTTGGGAAACTCAATTCCTGTTCGATAAATATCGTGATGGTGCAATCCAGCAAAACGATGAAGGCAACATGCCTATCCATGTTGCTAGCAAAAAGGACCATGTTGATGTAGTTGATGCATACATTTCCAATTGGACTGATGCAACAGAATTTCTCAACAGCAAAAGGCAGAACGTTCTTCATGTCGCCGCTGAGAGTGGAAGGCATCGAGTGGTGAAGTATATCCTACGAAATAAGAATCTGGAAGCACTTATAAATGAGAAGGATCTAGATGGAAATACACCTTTGCATTTAGCATCAAAGAATGGCCGCTCCATTGCAACATTTACTCTTGCGCGAAACTCTATGGTTATGAAATGCATAGCCAATGGCGAAAACTTGACACCATATGATGTTGCAGAGAAGCAATCTAAAATTGTGGGAGCAGAATACTCAGGTGAACCAATTCCGAACGGGAAGGTATGTTAAGTAATAATTGCAAAATTAAACTACTTCGGCTTGGATGAAAAGGCAGCAACTATTCGAATGCTATGCACATCGAATCAGTAGGCTTTTAGCTTAACAGTACTTCTTCAAAATAAAATTTCAAAGTTTTTTTTTCTTTTTTCCTTTTCCTTAAATAATATACATAAACATCTTTCTCCAAATATTCTTGGTGGGTTTTTTCGGTGTAGGACGACCAAGTTGATCAAAAGAGTGAAAACTATGGAGCGAAGCCACTAACAAAGGACAAATCAGATCATGGACTGGTATGCCTTTTTTCTTTCATTCGATCTTTTATGACATAACTAGTTCCATATTCTATTTTTCAGGTTCTTTTTCCTAAAATCATGCCTATAAAACATCTTTTGGTTTTTCAATGTAGGGAAACCAAGTTGATCAACATGAGAAAAGTGGAGGGAAGGGAAAACTAGATTATTATGGAGTTGTATGTATTCTCCTTCTCCTTCTCCTTTTGCTTCTTCTTGTTCTTCGACATCATCATCATCCTTCTTTCATTTTCTTTTTCTCAGAAAACTAGATGCATATTTAATTTTAAAGATTCCACAATATATGAAACAAATGAGCTTAGGTATGGCATTTGAGATAAATTACCGAAGGTACATATGATAATTTAATATTTGAATTTTAACTAACCCGGACACTTCTTAGCTAACTAAAAAGGAAAATTCTGAATACATATATTCTTTGTCAAGTAATTTATATATAGTTGGCTCATCTCTTTTTATCTGTTGTTGTCCAGATGATGACATTATCGATCTTACATTTCTTTGCTCGCCGTAACAAATCCAAAATAGAATATTTCCGAATTAAGAGCAGGCCTCTACCAAAAGAGGATATCAAGGGCAGGATCGATTGTCTTCTTGTTGTAGCCGTGCTTATCGCTGGTGTAACATTTTCTGGCATGCTCCAACTTCCTCGAAGTGCAGACCTGCCTGAAAGAGGACCTTCTAACATCACCACCACCACCACCGCCACCAATAGTACCCAAAACCAGGGCATATCAGCAAAAAATGAAGGCATTCTGAGGAATGTTTATATTTATTTTGACATGGTAGCCTTGAATGCCGCGGTCATGGCATCGATAATCCTTTGTTGGGCTCAACTATATGATGTCAAAGTAGCAGCACATGCAGTTTGGTTGGCATCAATATTAACAGGTGGTGCTATCTATTTGATGTGCCTAGCATTCGTCTTTGCTGTTGCTATTAATGTAGGGAACAGTTTTGCCTTCATCGTTGTCACCCTTGTCGTCGGAGGAGCGCTTTTTCTTGTCCAAACCGTGCTTTCTGCTCCATTGATTATTCCGCCGAATGCCAACCAAATCATTGAAAGAATTGCTTCACCATACCTCTATTTCGGGTTCTTCATCTGTTATTGTGTTTTTGAGTGGCTGCTTTTTAAATTTAGCAAACGCAGTAAGAACAAAGGGGAGCTACAATAAACAAAGTCTTCTTGATATGATGCTCTTCGGATCAATGGATTTTGTGTTTAATCATCGTAATAATTTCATTTTGTTGATTGTAACAATTATTTGATAGTTTTATATTTGTAATAATTTGAGTGTATTAATTTCTATGGAAATTTACGGCTCTTGGGTGAGCTTTTTCTTTGATGAATAAAATAAAAGAAATGCTTTCTCCTAATATAAGAAATTTTTTATCAAAATTAATGTGATACTATGTTAGCATTCCATGCAAAATTTAACAAACAATTCCTGTCCATGAGATGCACTTCCTTGATTTCAAGTTTAAAGAACAAAAAAAAATGTTTTCTTTATAATAAAAGATAAAAACTAAACAATAAACAAATACTTTATAAACAAGGAAGGGTCGGAAACTTCCACCGTTGCTGAATAAATTTTTAGCCTATACCTAGATCTTCCAATTTGTTAAGTTCTCTTTGCTTGAGCCGGTAGAAATTAAAGATTTTAAGCATTTGCGTGAGTATCTTACACTAATAGATGAGAATATGATTTAACCACATTATGTAAATGTCCTGAAATATTTTTTTATAGACTGATATAACAAGTATATGTTTAAGAAAAAGTCTAGTCGCACCATACTAAGTTAACATTTTAAAACTAAAATAAAAAGAGATTCAATCATTGGGTTAAGTTTAAATTTTTTTGAATAATTCTATAGGTAGTTTTTCAATAAAAAGCCACTTTTTTGTTTGTTATATTGTTGGATCTCCTAAAATTAAGCATCAAAATTATTGATTGGGGCCATTTTGTTATTTTTTTTAATTTTTTGGATTTGTTATTTTTATTTTGGATTATGTTTTAAATTCCTTAATATTTTTATAATTTAGGTTGCTTCCTAACAGAAATAGGTTTTCCTGATTTATTTAAAGGTCTTATAAATCTCTTGAAGTGGTAATCACCATGTACTTAAATTTTAAATAATAAAATTGTGAATTTAAAGTTCATATTTGTAATCATTTTTTCTCATTAAAATTTTTTTGTTTTTATGTTATTGATATTCTATTAGTTTCCTTCTGCGCTAGTTGGTACTAGAGACTAACAATCCTAAGTTTTATAATTCTTCTTGCCTGTTTCAATTTCATGGATAATTGTTAATTTATTGTGTGTTGCCAACAATCATAATATGAAGAGATCTTGGAGTAGTGTGTGGCCAAAGGGATAAGAAGTCTTCTATTTAGAAGAAAAATGTTCAAGAGCTTTTTTTGAAGTGTATTTAGAGACAGATCATAAGATTTGACTCAAGGTTAAAAGAGAAAGGGTAACAAAAATAGATCTAGGAGAGTGACCATGAGTTTTTAGCTAGTACCAAAAACCAAAATCATGATCAGATGAAAAACCTCATGAAATGAAAGAGATCAATTGTGAGGATTTTAGGTTTTTGTATCAAAATCCCTAATTTCATCAGAACTTTATAGGCAAAGAAATTTATAGACTAGTTGAAAGAAGTTAAGAGAGTTTTTTAATGTAAAAAGGTTCTTGAGTAGACACGAGTTAAGTTAATCACGTTGAATATCTACCTAGTGAGAATTGTTGAATAAGACATGAAAAAGACAAGAAAAATAAAAAATCAATGATTAAAACAAGATGAAGAAGAAGATGAGAGAGCTTTCCTCCTCCCAGATATTCCTAAATCCTATACTACAAGCTTTACATGCACAAGGAGGCAAGTCTATCATTGATTATATTAATAATTTCTACTAGTTAGTAGCTTTAAATGATTTGACAGAAATTAAAGAACAATTAGTGGCAAGGTGTCTAGGTGGTCTACAGAAGTCCATATAGGATGTACTATATATCTGGTATCTATAGATAGTTTTTTAGGCCTGTTAAAGGGTTTTAATAATTTAGAAGCAACAGATTGCTATGGCTGTTAACAAAATTTTTTGAGTAAGAATTTGCTAATAGATGCTTTAATATATGTGAGTAATCCTAAGTATGATAGTGACTTGGGTAATGATGGTGAGATTTTACATAGAGATGGTTATACAACTGTTATTATTAGAAAGAATTTGTTAACACTCAATGGTGATTTAAAAGATGATTCGTGGTGTCATAGTATTTTTCATTCTATGACCATTGCAAAGGAAAAGGTTTATGGCTTAATTATACACAATGTTAGTTGCTAGAACATAATATTTGTAAAAGTAATGAAAAAGTTTAAAATGATAATTGAAGATCATTTTAAGCAATATAAAATAGATATAGCTAAATAGAGACTCTAAAGTAATTATAGACCAACATTGCCTTATTTCATTTTTTATTGGACAAAAACATTTTAATAATCTAGTTTGCCTTGTTTCATTTTTTACTGGACAAAAACATTTTAATAATACTAGATGTGATATTGTTTTTATGGATATATGATACTTTCTATTAGAGAGGCCAAGGTATTTAATAGAAATATGATATGTTGTAACTTAATTTTTGACCCTTTATTATTATATATATTTTGAAAAATTAGAAAAACAAATCCAAAAATATGTTTTTTTAGTAATTTTAGTTAATTTTAATCATTTCATTATTTTTTTAATTTTTTTAATTTTTTGTATTAAAAAATCTTGAAAATCATAAAAATACAAAAAAAAAAGAAATACAAAAATAAAAAATATATCTAGATTTGAAATTGGATCAATAATCGAACATTATAAGCAAAAACGAGGATCAATAATATAATTGAGATTTGAATCAAAGAGAAAAATGAAGAAAATGGCTTATTTGATTTAATTTGACTAAAGTTAAAAGAAATTTAATGTTCAAGGATAATTTTGAAATAAATAGTCAAATCATAAATCATTAAAAGACTTAATTAAAGAAGAAAATCAAAATTGAGAGTTAGATTCATCAAAATTGCATAATTTTATAACCATGAATGAATTTTATAACCATGAATGAATTTGGAATATGTTAAATCTAAAGATCTAAAATTTAAAATTGATTCAATTAAGGAAACAATTAAAAAAAAAGATAGAGAGATTAAGGGATTTTAGGAAATGAATGACTAAATTGAAACTGGAAAGATCATTTAATTTAATTTAGGGTTTAAATTGAAAGAAATTTCAAAATTAAACATCTTAAAAAATTGAATGCCAAGGACTGTAATGAAAATGAATAAATATTTTAAGGACCAATTTAACCATTTATATAACTTCATTTTTGTTCTATTTGTTTTAATCAAGACAATTCAGTCCAATTGGTTCCAATTAAATTAAACTAACTTAATTCAATTCAATCTAATTTTTTTTAATCAATTCACTTTAGTCCAATTAAACCCCAAAATCCAACAATTAATTTTAGATTCTTTATTGGAATTCCAAGCAATTAACCTGAGATTGCAATCTCCCAAACCAAATTCTTGAGCAATTAAATTGAGGATTCCAGCAATTAAAATCCCACGATCCCACCTCCTCGATCCCAAAATACCTTCCCATATCTAAATCTTCAATCCCTTGGATTAAGTCCTGAAATCATTCTCACCAATCTAACATTTTCTCTCCATAAAGGGAACAAATACACAGCCACACTAACTAAAAAGGGGGCTCTCGGATTCAAACCAAAGAACCCTGAAAATCAAACCCATCCTCTTCATCAGCAATTCCCCTCCAGCAAGGCTCATGATCATCATAGCCTCCACTCTCTCTCCATTGCTAAACTAGCACTACTCACCATAACCTCCCTCTTCGCCACCAAAACATCCAACCCATCCTCTGATTCCAGAGAACTAGACCAATTTCTATAACAAAAACCATTGTTTATTCATCAACTCCAATACTAGAAGACCCAACACTCATAGCCTATCCTTCTTCCACAAAGCACTGGAACCAACAAAAACTCTCCATCATTATCATCTTCACCAATGGCCCCTGTCTTTTTCCTTATAACCTCCATCTTTGAACTAGCTAACAACCACCTAATCCTCCACATAAACTTTCTCCCATTCACCTGAAACAACGCCCTCGACTAACACACAACAACCAAGAAAACCAGTAGCCATGGCCAAAACCACAATCAACCTTAGCCTCTCCAATAAAAACCTTCACTGACTTTCTTCTCGATAAAAGCCCAATAGATAAAAGCCAAGAACCATAAACCCATTCTTTCACCCTCCATTAACCAAAAAGAGAGGCATCCATCCAAATCAACTGTTTCTTCTCCACCATAACCATTGCACCACGACCTATCTCCACCATCACAGACCAAACTCGTCTTTGCCCAAAAACCACTAGTCTTAAACCCCATACAAAATCCTAGCCACCGAAACATTGCCTAAATCAGCCACCATTCACCTCTCCCTCGCCACACCTTCTCTAGTAGCGCCATGAGAAGTTGAATATTTTTTTCACTTCTATGACAAACTACCCACACGACTAAGGCCATAACATAGTACCTCTATCTTGAACTACACTAACACTTTAACCCAAGACCATTAACCCTCAACCACCAAGACTTCCACATCTACCACCCCTTTCAGCTGATGAACAACAACCCAATTTCCCTTCCATTCTTCCACCCGAACCAACATAGTTGAACCAGTCACCACATGAAACCAACATCACCTTAACACCTAAGTCAGACCCGTATCCCTTCTCATCTTTGCAAGCGACCAACAGATTCTTAATCTTTCTCCCATTACCCACTGAAAATCCTAAAAAAATCAACATAATTTTTTTCTTTGTTTTACAGGGGGAGAAAAAACCAATAACAGAGGGAGAGAAGAAATAAACGGCCACTGATGTTAAGAAATGAGGTTTGATGGGCTTTATATACAGCGCGTGAACAACACACTTCTTCAAGCTAATTTCTACAGATAAGTCACGCATGTTCACACTCGCTTAACGGGTACCAGACTGATTTTTCAGCAATTCTGGTGTTTTTCCATCCCAAAAAGTCAATTTTAAATCTCCAATAAATATTTTTGTTATTTGTATGTTTAAATCTCATGTATGTTGATTCTTTTAGTTTTTTCAATTGTAAAAATCTAAATATTTTTTGTTGATATATTTTCATATAATAAATAAAACATATAAAAATAATTATTGTAATAATAATAGTTATAATATAAAAACCTAACAAAAATAA